CATCTGGTCTCCTCTGGGCCGTTGCTGGCGGCGGTTGAGGGCAGAGCAGAACCGCAGAAGGCTTTTGTCCTCTCTGAAGAGCAGCTGAACCAACAGGAAAAGCCAACTCCAGCCAGTCAATTAATTGATGGAACAATTTAAAATTATGGGAGGCTCTCAGCAGGGGGAAAGAAAATGTTTACAAATCACGCGCTCCGATATCTCGTTACATTCCCATTTAGATTTCCCAGCCCTGGCTTCTTTGGTTTCTTTTTTTTTTTTGCCTTTCTTTTTCTTCTGGTTTTTCCACCCTCCCATCTCACCGTCTGCCCCTATCATTTTGTTTACTTTCACAACTTGTAAAAAAGGAAAATGTGGAAATGCTTTCTCAGAGTGCATGCCTACGACGGGCGAGTAGAGTTCACCACATGCAACTAATCACTGTGTATTTACAATGTATCCTGTCTGAACACCCAGATGAACCCAAATCACTTCCATATAGCCACTCTGCTCTGACGGAGACCACATGAATGCACCCAGAGCCAGAGCACACCACATTAAAACTTTTTTTGATCACCGGGTCCTGTGCCTTCGCGGCCCCATCTGTGCCCCGCTGCAGAGATTTCTCCTTCAATTAACCAGCAGACATCCAAAGGCCCCCCCGTTCAGAAGGCTGCAGTCGGAGCAGATCTCACAGTAAAGAGGAGCGACCTGAGCCGCTCACTCAAAGCGACACAGTGGGGCAGTGTGAAACCCCGAGGGGGGGGGGAGGGGGGGGCTTTCTGCATCGTTAAAACAAGTCTGCTTTCTTCTCCTGCAACATCTGTGTCCATTCAGCTGTCAGTCATCTTTCAGGGGAGAGGAGCGAGAATATTTCAGAAGGATTTAACAGGAGGGGCCTGTGCTGCTATTCGGAGAAACAGCTGCGGCACCATCAGCTGCTAATCATCTGGAATCGGATAAAAAGGAGGACAGACGGGCTACAGAACGCATCGGACGAGATGGGAATGGGCGAGCGGAGGGAGCCCGGTCAGCACACGGGTGGGAGTGAGATGGGCTTGGGTCTGTGAGAGGGAGAAGAGGCTCACGGCTCGGAAAAAAGAGCAGGAGTGAATCAGAGAGGAAGAGGTGGGAAAAGCGAACGGAGAATTCGAGGGAATCCCACTGAGATAGCTCTCTTCACTGCTCTGCAGCACGCCAAAGAATTCAGATGAGCAAACCATATGTCTGACAAGTCGCACATAAACCTCCCGGCAAAGACAAAACGGCAATAAACGTCAGGAATCTGAACCTGACCAGATTCTTTTTTTTTTTTTTTGTAAATGATTCAAAATCTAACAAACAGCAGTTTGTTTATTTATGACCCTGGCAGACGCGGCCTGCCGGGACGGACGACTCCTCCTGCACCCTGCGTCCGTTTTTGGGCCGTGTGCGGTTTCGTGAGTCGGATTACGTTCCGTCCCACAGGCGGCCAGTGACCGGACATTTGCGGGGGGCTGTGGGGCTCCGTGTCGTGATCCCGACTACACCGACAGCTATGAAGGCACGACGGCGCTTATGAACGATGGCACGGAGCAATGAGCCGTGCCTTCGTGAGGTAATCCAACCCCCCGGTGGAGGGTGCATGCCGTGCCATTAGCAGCATTCGTGCGTGCGACCAGCTAGGAGCCCCAGCACATAATGGAAACTTTCCCCGAGCTGTCAAATGGACGATTGCTGGCCCAAGGCGTCGGTTTGGGCAGCTCGCTCGCGATTCCGTTCTGCTTTAGCGGACGGCAAACATCTGCGGCACCTGGTCGAAAACGGAGAGAGGGACCGTGGGCCGTGGCGGGGGAAACGCAGCCAGCAACAGGCCTCTTTCAAATGTGCCAGCTCCCCATGCAACAACCTGAATGGGAGGACCTCACTAAGGCCGCCGGCTCCCAAGCAAAGCACAGCAAATGACAGAATGCTGCGTCATTTTCTAGAAGTGGCAGACCTTAAAAAAAAAGTTAAAGAGTTAAACAAGCTCGCTGTAAAGTTTCTCAGCTAAAAGGAGAAACTTAGTTTCTGTAGAGCTTCTTTAAGAAGCAGGTGGTGGACTGAATGAGCTTGGCTTCCTACCCTCGCTACTTAATTACCACCGTTCCTGAAGCGGGATGAAAATGAAGCCCTGAGGGGGAGTGTGTAAGGCAACTCATAATCAAGAGGAAAGGCAGTCTGCGGGGCCAGGCTCTGGACAGTTTTTTTTTTTTTTTCCCACAGTGGACTCGCATTCTCAGCATTCCACCCGGACACCGCTGCCCGTCCATCCCGGACTGCGGGGACAGACCAGTTTGCAACCAGACAGACTGGTTGAGATCTCCACGTCACAAGCGTGACGTGTCCCCGAGAGCCCATCGCGAACACCAACGCTTCCGGACTTTTGTGTCACAAACTAGAAAAAAAGTCCCAAAATTTCCAGTTTCAGTCCCGTGAAGGGAAATGCGGCACTGCAACTGCCAAGTGCCATGATCTCATGTAAAAAATAAAATAAAAACCCATAGCATCAATGTTGAATGACCACAATCATGGTCCAGAAACCCTGTTGTCCTCAGCTATCCCACATCCAACCCTTGAAAAATATCCATGTTTGCCATCTCTGCTTGTCACTATCAGAAACGGCACCAGCTTAAATATTTAATTTGGCCCCCTCCTGATGGAATGAGACAGTCCTTGAACCGGATTCAGGTCAGATCCTGGACTGAGCGGGGGGGGGGGGCAGTTGTCTGACCCTTCTCCCAGTCAAAACACTGAGCTGCTCTCATGCAAACCTTTTTTATCCCCCCCCCCACTGGCTTGTGATGAAAAAGAGACAAAGCTAACAGCTGAGCGGGGCAGTGGGAGGCACAGACCTGTGAGACATCATATGGCTTTACAACAACCTGGCTTGGATAAAAAAAAAGAAAAAAGAAACACTTTGGGAGGTTTTCAGCCTCTGGGTCGAACCTGAACTGCCGCCCCTTACGTTTTCAGGAATCCGGTTTAACGTTGACCTGCTTTCACAACAATAACAAACAATGGAGCCAACTGTCCGTCTGAGGACAGTTACGGGGGGCACTGCCCGCCGGCCGGTTGCATTCTGCCCAGTCCCCGTGACCCGTGGAGCAGCCGGTCACCTCGGGGGCCGGGTCCAGGCTCTCTTTCGGCTAGCTGTGAAACGGACCGGCTAGGCTAACGTCAGCTAGCCAACTTTAAACGTGCACCCACCCGCCTGCCAACCGCTGTAATGGTGCCCCCCCCTTCCTCTCCACCGCCCACCCCCTCCCCTGGTCCTACTAACCACTCGTATTTGTAAACGCTAGACGGAAATATTACGAGACGTCTCGGTTGTTCGGCTTCGTTGTGCCAGAATTAGGACATTACTAGGGAAAACACCATTGCACTGCACACAACCGCGGGTCCCGTGTTATGGCTGGTGCTGGATACTGGCGACAATCACAAGGCTGAGACTAATTCCAAGAACAATATTATCAGACTTCGGGTGCTATCGTCCGGTCCTCCGCGCCTGTTTTCCCTTAAAGGACAAGGCAGCTAAAACAACCCAAATTATGAGAACAGCAGTGGCTCTTTGACGAACTGTTGAAATGATAAGAGAAAGAGCCGGCGGCGAGCCAACTCCGTGGCCCACGGGGGACTGCTCCCATCCAGCAAATACACCCAGCCTTTCCGCGCTAGTGTGTGGGAATATACTTGGGAATTTAAAGCGTTGCTAGCTACCTGTTAGTCGCAGCTTCACGGGGCCATTCCGCCGAACTCCTTGGTTAGACATCTCCCCTTGGTCCGAGCCTTCGCGGCACGCAGAAAAAATGTGAGGCCCGAGCTAAAAAAGTAACAAGGTTTATTAACCTCTCCGCCAGTTTTAGACAATAATGGAGTCAAAGCATTGTGGCCCGGATGTGGACCGAACTGCCATAGCGGGCTCTCAAAAAGGCGAAAAATGAAAAAAAGGAGAAAAGAAATTCGCAAAGCTTGAGCTGCTGCAAATGGCATTGACTATTTTTTTTTTTAAAAAAAAGCTTTTTTTTTTTTTTAAGTCAAAAAGCCTATTTTCGCCCCAGTCTTGGAACGTGCGGACGAGCTGCTGCGGGCTCGCGGGGCCGTAACGCGGTGCCTAGCTCCACATCTTGGGGGAGAGAGAGAGAGAGAGAGCGCGTGTGCCTCGGACGGAGTCCTCCCCTCTGCTCGTCGACAGTCGGTCTGCGGAGCCTCGGGGGTAGCTCCCACATCAGGAGGCTGCTGCTGGGAGCCGACCGGTGACGACAACACTCCCGGGGGGAGTCGGACTTCTCTCCAACATGTGGCACTTCGCTCGGAATCGCGCGCATAGGGAGAGGGGGGGGGGGGGGGGGGGG